CAAATTGAGCATCTTTTGGGTAGCAGCTAAACTTCTTAACCGCTGCATCACCAGGCCATCTTCTGTCTTATTGTTATATGCTGTTGAGTCAGAAGCAACTCGTAGCCGACCCTCTCGCAGGTTTTTGGAGGCTATAAATTGCACAGGAGGAGATTGGCCATCTTTCTCCTGTGGAGCAGCTTGTGGATTCGAACTGCATTCCTTTTAGGTTGGCAGCACCACACCTGACCTCTAGGCCACTGGAGAGAGCTCCCTCCTGTTTCCCTGTAAGCTCCCTTAAGAGTTATTCAGACTTAGCCTTCTGTTTTGTCGTCCATAAACGGAGTATAATGCTATCACTTGAGAGTGTTGATAAGACATGTCCCTGGCCTAGAGGAGATGCTCAATGCATGCCCTCTCCTTGCCTGCTTTTGTAATGAATCTTTGTTGTGTCATTTTAAAAAGAAAATGGACATTACTTGCATTCTAAAAGATTTTCCAGTCTACAAAAGGGATCACTCTAGGGTTCTTCTTAGTTAGAAAAGTATCTATTTAGAACTCCATTTCTGCATTACTTGAAGATAGTTCTAAAAGTACTGGGTATCACTGGCACAGGGCCAGCCTGCCAACCTTTTGTTTCCTCTTGCTATTCGATGCCAGGGTAGCTACCCAATGTCAATGGGTAGCTGCTTATATGGTCTTTGAGATAGAATTAGGGCTGACTTTTTAAAGCAAAAACCTCTCCTGAATCTTCCCCATGGGATTTCCAGACAACAGTGCTCTGCTGTACAAAGTCCAGTTTTGGAGGCCATGTTCCTTGTTTATTTCACCTCCAATGTGGCTTCCCTCAACCAAGTGCTCAGTTTCCCTGGTGGCTACGCAGTCTCCTATTCCCTCCACCTGGTGAGACAGGCTTAAGTCCTTCCACTGCACGAGCACAGTTTAAAACTGAGCAGCTAGTAAGTGGTCTGGTGAGCTTATTGTTGCTAATAGTGATTTCTGGAGTCCCTGTCTAAATTTTTTAAATGATGATGATGATGAACGTTTACAGAGACATTGGATTTCCATTCATTCATTGTTGCACTTTCCTCCCTGCCCACCCCTCACCCCCCCTCCAGTTCTCTCTTCTCTTTGAAAAGTAAAAAATAATTCTTTCATTATTATACAATCTCTCCCCCCAAGTCCACTCCACTGTGCAGCCTTCATTCTGGACTAATAATGCCTAATCATATGCCCCTTTCACACAGTTCTCTCCCTCTCGGTTTTAATGCAGTATACATAAGTTGTCCCATCTTTCTCATTCTCCCCCAACCCCTATGTCAGTCCCATTTTATAACAGTGGCACCATGCTGTATTTGTCATTTGTCTAAATTTTTTATGCAACGCTTAGCTCACATTCTAAGCATCGCGAGGGCTTTTGGTTGTATTGAGGGGGATGGTGGCGGTGTATTTCCAGACTTTAGCACTTTCAAGGTATCCAATTAAACAGTAAAGAAACAGACCGACTAACATGTATAGAGTAGGTCACCACCAGGTCACGAATAATCTTCAAAAAGACTTGGACAAGCAGGACCCAGTAATCTACTTAGGTTTGCTTAAAGCAATTTGTTGGATCCTTAACACCTGTTAAGTGTTGAGAATCAAAGCCCGGCCTCTCTTTGGCTCTTCCCTCCCTCTCTCCTTTTCTTCCTCATTCCTTTCCCTTTTGCCTTGCAAAAATATTTCTTAACAAGTGCTTTGGCTGCTGAGCACTGGTGATCCAGTGGTAGGTAATAGAGACAAAGGCCCTACCTTCATGGAGTTTGTGGTCTGATGGAGAGTAGGCATCGCATAGCCATGTTCACTAACAGGTGTAGGATCATCAGGTGCAGTAGGAGCTGTGAAGGCCTGCCATTCATTGAGGGGCATGATCTTCTCCTGTGCTACCAAACTCAACCCAAACCAGCTGCTATTGGGCAGATCCGGATCATTGGGGACCTTCCACTGGGTCTCGAAGTCCCTAGGGCTTAATGAGAAGAGACTAATTCATCTTTTGCTCTTCGAGTAGCTAGTGGGTTCAAATTGCTGACCATTTGGTTAGCAGCTCACCGCATAACCCACTATGCCCACCAGGGCTCTTAGACTGGTGTTAGTGGGAGATTTTTCTGGATTGAACGAGAGATGAAGAACAGCTGGTACTAGGGGAAGAATGAATGTTCCAGGCAGCAGAAACTGCACGTGCAAAGGTCCTGTGGTGCTGAGAACCATGATACCCAGGAGAAAATAAAAGGCTGTTAAGACTGAAGCAGATGGACGAAGAGGAAGTGTAGGGGTGGGGAAGTGGCTTTGATAAAGTCAGCAGGGCCAGAGACACAGGTCTTGGTAAAGACTTTGGCCTTTAGTTTAACAGTAGGAAACTGCCCAAGGGTCCCAGGGAGAACTGGGGTCCAGGAACTGTTGCTAGTGGCTGACACCTCTCAATGTGTCTCTGCAGGCGCGATGCAGTCATATACGTGGTCCCTGACGTACACAGTGACGACGGCTGCGGGGTCCCCGGCTGAGAACTCCCAACAGCTGTCCTGTATGAGGAGCACTCACGTGCCTTCCTCCTCCGTGGCACACAGGATACCGGTGTACCCCCACAGAGAGGAGCACGGGTAGGTGACTTTGCAGGGATGCCGCTCCAACAACAGGCAGACCCTTGCCCTTCCTTGAAGTCTGTTGCCACCTGCAGGAGGCCGTTGTCAGTGTCCCCATTTTACAGATGAGGGCACTGGGACTCTGGTGATTGACTTAAGCTGGTAAGCAGTAGCACCCAGATCAAGGTAAATGCGTGTCAGCTTTAAAGCCTGGGTTCCTTCCCCCTGACGCCCTCTGATCAGTGCCCCGGACCCTCTGGGTACAGTAGCCTATAACGCTGGCTGGTAGATCTGAGTCTTTTATGAAGCAGGTAATCCCAACCTGATGGCTGCTGGAGGCCCCCGGAGGGTTCCAGTGGTGCTTTGTATCCTAAATAAGCAAGGCATTTGTTTTTGCCTGTGCTTGAAAACAAAATTTACATAGCGACACTTCTGTGATGGACGAAGCACAAATCCATTCAATAGTGCTCTCTGAATCACAGCACCTTGTTTTGTATGCATGTGTTAAAAGAAACCATATATATGTAGTCTTTTGTGCAGTGGTCTTAAAACACTTCTGCTGTTCCTAAGGGCATCCTGAGTCCTCTCTGCTTCCATTCCCTAGCCTATGTCTATTAGGCTGGGAACAGGTCATAGAAAAGGGGTGGGGGGTGGCCTCTTGGCCCTTCTGCACAGGTGGCCAAGCTCAGGCAGGCCAGGCGTTGCCCGTAGAAGAGGCCTACTTCCTTAGATCCAGGCAATGTTTTCAGAGTATTTCCCACGCACGTTTAGAATGGATTTAGGACACGGTTTCAAGAGGCTTCTTGGTTCTGGGGGATGGCAGAATAACAGACACTCCCGTGGATCATATGCTGGCATCTTTGCTGTAAGCCATTATTACCAATAAGAATAATGTCTTATATCTAGAAGTTTGTTATGCTGTTGTACACCAGCATGTCCATTTTTAGCTCATGGTGACCCTACATGACAGAACAGCACTGCCCCATAGGCCTCTCTTGACTGTTACCGTTACAAAAATTGATGGGCAAGGAAGTTCTGGTGGTCTAGTGGCAAGAAGCTACGCTGCAATACAAACACCGCACTGTTCAAATCCACTAGTTGCTCCGCTGGAGAAGGAGGGGCAATCTCCTCCTGTACCAGTTGGATCTGATTCAATGGTACACACACGCAAAATATAAAAAATAAATAAAATAAAATTTAAAAAAAATAAGAATAGATGGGCAGGTCTTGCTCCTACAAAGCCACTGGGTAGTTTCCAATGGGTAACCTTTCTGGTAATCGAAGTGCTTAACCTGAGTGCCACCAGGCCTTGTCTTTACACACAAAGGCGCCCATATGCAGTATTTTCACAGGTATGAGGAACAAAGTTGTGAGTAGCCCAAGGCCACAGAGCTAGGTGGAGCTAGGCTGAGCCAGGTCGGCCCTGCCCTGACACTGTCCCCCAAGAGGGAACTGAAAGATGCACAGGGCACCCCTGTCCACAGTGGGGACACAGAAGCTGAGTAATAATAGCAAAGCATTAATCCCAGAGGAACGTCTTCTCTCTGTGTGATTTGGCTTCAGGATACAACATGGGGCTTGTGAATGCAAAGGGACTAGCTGGTTTCCGTCATTAAGCATGTTTTGCTTGGGCCTAGTGTCCATTCCCTGAGCACTGACTAGGTCAGGAGGGAGGTGGTGTCCCAGGGAGGTGGCACGCTCTGAGATTGAAGACATAGCACCACAGAGCCTCAGAGAGGAGTTGGTAAACATCAGAAGAAGAAAGGACTTTTTTTTTAAAAAAAAAAAAGGAGGAAAATGGAAAAAAAATAAAAAGGGGGAAAAAAATAGGTGAGGTTGATTTTTAAAGGTGCAAACTGATATGTGCTCACTGAAATGTGCTCACAAAATTCCATGTACTCCATGCACTGCAGATACACGGGAAGCTATAACTACGGGAGCTATGGCAACCAGCATCCTCATCCAATGCAGAGCCAGTATCCTGCCCTGCCTCACGACACGGCCATCTCCGGGCCACTCCACTACTCCCCGTACCACCGAAGCTCTGCACAGGTGAGTCGGCAGCCCTGCTGGCTTACCCAGGCCTCGATGTGCTTGGGGCCTAGTGTTACACCGTTAATGAGCATTAATGTGTGTGCAGCCTGAGTGCCACCCGAGGCAGGATGGTATTTTCATTGTGTCATCTCCAAGGGACTACTCTCCAGGGACTGGCTTGTAGCTTGTAGTAAACATCCACTCATCTTCATTCGCACTCCACTTTCTCATGCACATTGGTGCTAAATGGTTCTCTTTGCATCCCCTCTTTTCTCTCACCAAAACCCTCCATGCCCCTTGCCCTTTTCTGTGAGCAACCCTCAGACTGGACCTTTCACCCTTCTTTCCCACCTCTACCCTCTTGGCACAGACCCCCATCAAGTCCTGTCAGGACCACTATCTTGGCGTCATTCTACCTGGCCTTCTGGCTTCTTCTTGATAGCCCACCCCACACGTGTAATCTTTCCAGAAGAATCCTCCTGAAATGGGACTTTTCTCAGATCACAGTCAAGTCACAGGTCAAGCTAACTAGGGCCCTGAAAGCTGTGGTGAATGGAAACTGGGGCTCCATCTGTCACGACAGTGTTGGACATTCTATGCCTCTTGGCCTCTTTGTCATACATCCGCCCTCACGTACAAACAACAGGTCACCAGTGACATTCCATCCTACATCCTAAGGGCCTCTGAGCCTGACTGTGCTTGTCTCTGCTCAGACCTTGATCATTTCTCACCTCAGTGAGACAAGCATCTTCCCATTAATCTCCACATGCCCCATCTGTGACCTGTCCACTGCACTGCAATTGGAGAAGTCTTTGTTGGCGGTAGGGATGATTCTGACCATTGCCACTCTCCTGCACTGACTCCCTATTGTTTTTCAAGGTCAAGTTCACTTCCTTAGCACATTTCTCAAGAATAGTTATTATCCCTCCTACCCACTTTTTCTGGCTTGGTCCCTCAAGCCTTCACTCTTGACCCCCGACATGTCAACCCATGGTCAGCTCCCCCTTAGGCATCAAGTGTCCCCGTCTTTGCAGCTCCCGTTCACTCCAGTTGGACTGTCTCCTCGCCAACTCTTCTGCTTGTCATGCAGGAAGAATATTTCATTCTTGGCAGCATTTCCTGGCACTCCCCCCTTCTTCTTTGAGGTGCCACTCCTTTGTCCTCACACAACCTCCAGGCTCTTCTCCACTGGCAGCACTTCTCACCCCTTTCTCCCATCTCTGCCTTTTCAAGTCATGCTCCTGCCTGAGGTTACAAGATCCCTGAAGACAATAAGTCTAGCTTCCCCATGTTATAGGATATAGCACCTATCAGAAAAAAACAATTGTTACGTATCATGGAATCAGAGCTGATTTGTAGGTGACGCTCCAGCAGGTGTTTAGAGGCTTTCAATTGCATTGGAGGAAATTTCCCATCATTGCCCTGTGAAGCAACTGGTGGATTTGAACCAAATGCCTTTGGGTTGGTAGTGCAACTCCTTATCATTAAGCCACTAGAGCTACCTAGGAGAAGGAAGAGCTAACTTATAATAAGTACTTGCCATATGCCAGGCTCTGTGCTGAAAGCACTTTGCACATCCACAGAAGAGAAAGTGTGGTTATGGAAGGTTGCCTAACCTGCCCAAGGATTTGAACTCTGACAGTCTGAGTCTCTGTCCAGGCTCTTAAGAACTGCCCTCTGTCACTTCTCATACTTAGGAATTCAGTTAAGTGTTTCTTGAGAAAATAAGTGAGGGAGGTCTTGCAGGTGCAGGGCAGTCTGAGAGGCTTCCTAGCCAGGCTTAGACATGACGGTTTGTGCTCAAGACAGTGTGCACGTCTGGCAGCCACTGTGATGAGTTAGAAAGGCAGGGCATGGGTAACAGCAGAGAGTTGTGCTATAGAGAGTTTGCAGGCCTAGGAGAAAGATGGCGGATCTTGAGCTAGAGTAGAGGCTGCAATTACATCAGCCCTTGGTGCCTTGGAGGGAGGACACCAAAGACAATGTACCCACAACACACAGGCACTGGGGGCCAACAGGTGTCTGTTTGGATTTCCATCTGCAATACCAAAGGGAATCCTGCTCTGCTCCCCAGACAAGCCATGGAGTTGATTCCACTAAATCATCACCCAGGGCATTCATTAGAGGTCTCCAACTGCGTCACACAGAGATGCCGGCTCCTTAGGTAATGCTCCTCTGGGAATACTGTCTGGGCTTCTCTCTGTGATTTACTAACTTACTCAGAACTGCTGCCATGGGCTGAGTCACATTGTACATAGCAAAAGCAGCACAATCCATCCATCCATCCATCCATCCATCCATCCATCCATCCATCCATCCATCCTCTCACTCCACCCAGTCATTCCTCCACCCACCCCTTGAATGTCTCTTGGATGCCACTATGTGGTAGGCACTGCTCCAGCCTTGAAATTTAAGAATACAGCAGCATAGACAGACAGCATGCTGGCTTTCGCACTCCAGGAGGAGTCAATATTCTAGCAAAATCAAGCTAAGAGGACATACCAAACCCACAGTTGCTGGCACCATCGTCCCTCTTTCTTCACTCTATAACACTTTCTTAGGAATTCACAGAAATTGGTTTCCACAGGTGATACTTCTTTACTATTTCTTTGCCATAAAAAAAGGCCAAAATACAGTCCCTATGCAGTCTCTGTGGATCCCAGATAGGCCTGCGTCACTTGCTCTGGAAGGCACATCTGTTCCCAACTGGAACACAACCTGTAATGAGTAGTATCAATATACTAAATGAAAGTGCAAGGAGGAGCTCTTTGAATCTAGATTTAGTGTGAGTGGGTGAGAGGATGCTTGACTAGCTTCCTCTCTGTCATGCGCTATGGACCTTAGCATGGTTTTAGATACTTCCTCCTAAAACACCCACAAGGATCTTCCTTGGAAGCCAAGATGGTGATGCTTTGTCTCACGTTCTTTGGACACATTGTTAGTGAGGACCCTCAACAATATGGATTGATGCAGTGACTATAACAATGGGCTCAGGTATACTGGAGACAGTGAGGATGGCACAAGATAGGACCAAGTTCAGATCTGTTGTTCATAGGGTCGCTATGAGTTGCAGTCTTTTCAAAGGAACATAACAACAATAATATCTCTCTCTCTCTTTTTCTCTCTTTTCTCTTTCTCTCTCTCTCACTCCCTCACTCCTCTCACTCCTCTCTCGTGTTCTGTGCCTTAGTTTCCATTTGAAAACTAGGGTAGGTAGAAATTAGTTATATAACATCTTGACCCAGGAAGTTAGTAAGTTCGAGGCCCAAACCTACCTCAATGTGGGGAAGTACTGTCCAAAGAGAAAATATTCTTTGTCTTATTTTTCATTAACATGGAGGCATTAGGCACAGTCCTGGGCACTTTCAAGTATGAACACTTAATATCATCTTCATGGCAACCTTGGGGGAAAAAAACAAAACATTTTTCTTCAGTTTTTAAAGGTGAGGAGACAGGTTGAGAAGGCAATTTCCCCCCCCCCCCAGTCTGTGTATCCACTAAGGAGTCCTGGTGATGTCATATCAGGCTGCTAACTGAAAGGTAGGTGGTTTGGATACACAAGACTCTTTCAAGGAGGAAGTTGAACAGTCTTCTCCTGTAAAAGATTTACAGCCTTGGAAACTGATGGAGGTAGCTGAGTCAGAATCAACTTGATGACGGTGGGTTTTGTTGGGTATGCATGCACTAAGTGGGAGCAGAGCAGATTCAAAAGCAAATTCTTCAGCGTTAAGAAGTTCCACACCTTGAATATTGCCATTCATCTTGATAAGTTTCAGATCACTAAAGGATCACCACCCAGCACACCTTCTCTCTTGCCTTTGTTGGCTCTGTGGATTTCTGGTTCAACATAGCAGGAAAAACCACTGCAGTGCTTTTAGTGTCAGCTTTCCAGGGTAGAAAGAAGGCTAGCTTTTCTGCACCTGGGTACTGAATACCATACTTCACTCTATTAGACTCACAGGGGGAAAGGTTAATGTGAACTGAAATCCCAATCACAGAATAATGCTCCAAGAAATGTAAGTGGTCGCTAATACCCCTGTAGCTGAAACCAACTTCTGCAAATAAAGACCTCTAACGCATGCCTTAAAGAAGGACTATGCTACAACTGTGTGGTGCATAAGTCTACTCTTTGTACCATCGAGTCAACTGTGACTCATAGAAACCCTATGAACAACAGGTCTGAACCATGTCCTATCTCATGCCATCCTCATCATCTCTCACGTGATGGAGCCCATGGGTGGTATTCACTGTTGTCAATCCATCTTGTTAAGGGTCTTCCTTTCTGTCTCTGACCTTTCACCTTTCCCAGCTTGTGGTCTTTTCTTCCCCGAGGTCTGGCCTCCCAGCACTTAAATTGCTCAAGATCATTCTACATGGCTTGTTTCTGGAAACAGCAGCATATACGTGCTCTTGTTTGTGCTGCTTGCTTGCACAGCACATGCTCTCTTTGTGGGTGACAGGAAGGTGATCTTCCCAGCCCTGCCTGAATGCTCACAAGTTCTGAATTAGCGCATGAGGGTGGAGTTCTCTGGGAAAACACTCTTGCTGCCACTGTGCTGCGATTGTGTACAGGGTGAACAAGGGATGATGACAGCTGCCCTTTCCCAGGTTCCCTATCCCATGCCCTCCCAAAAAGACAACATACAATTGTAAAATCCTTTGCTAGCACAGTTAACATGTATTTGTAGAGCCCACTCTACCAGCAGACAGAAATGTGATCTGAGGTCCCTCAAACTTCAAAACCAGTTGATCATCCAAAGGCTGCCTGCCTAGAAATAAACGTAGAGTGAACCAGAGTAAAATGAGCTATTCCTCCATGTGCACCTGTATGACCAAGGTCTAGCCAATTACCCAACTCATAGACTCTTTAGCCACTGAGTCCTAAAAGCTGCTTGGGGCCAGCAAGTCCTTGAGCTGAGTTTAAAGTTCCTTAACAAAAGCATCTTTGTGCCAAAGCGAATAAAATTCAGACAACCAAAAGTGGTGTAAGCTCTCTGACTATAGAGCCAGACTTAGCA